TCGAATCACATTTGTCCGATAAAGGAGTATTGACAGTTTGCGCATCCAAAACCATTGTCGGCCTACCTGAAGCACGGAACATTCCGATTCAAGCATCTCCGAAAGAACCGGAAACAACTCCGAAATCACTTTCAAACGGTGCAAAGCAGTAAAAATTATATACAAATATGTTGTATCTAATCATGTATTTTTATTCCAATATTAAGAGCAGAAAGTGTTTCATTAATGAAATTAGAAATTTGAAAATGCGAACTCTTCCCATCACTATGAATTCACTATCTCTCATTCTCCTTCATTTATAATTCCATCAGTTTTTATCGGCAAAAAATCATTTATTTAAATCAGTTGAATTTTTATATATTTTGAGTTTTTCATCTTTAAATTTGTGGGTTAAGAATATAATTTGATTTTCTTGTAAGCTATTTTTATTTTCTCTTTGAACTTTTATTTTATTTTCAAATCTTTTAGCTATACCTCAAAATATTTCTCATTCCTCGGATATTATCGTGCATTAATATGTTGTCAAATGAATGATTGTTTTTTGTCATTATCAGCACTTTAAATAAATTTATCTTTCACCAATGTGTTGCATTATCACGAATTATTTGTACAGTTTAGAATTGCAATAACAACGAAATATATTCTTCATCTTGACAATCTATTAAAAGCTTAAAATAGATTTACATTATCAGTGATTTGGCCTTTGCTGCTTATGTCCGTCACACTTATTTGGTCCAACAAAGTTGTTCTCAATTTTTAACCTTCAATATGACGAATAAATTTTCAATGGTTGAATTAAAGCGATCGATCACATCTCGAAGAATTTCTCTATCAAAAACAGTTTCGAGGTGGCAATTATCTATATATTTTCATGTAATTCCGATATTATTCGTATGGAATTTGGCCTCTGTTATATGAAGAGATCTTACTAATTATAGGATTATTTTTGTATTTTATTATATTTTAAAATATATTTTAAAATTTTTTAATTCCTCAAAAATATCAAACATTGATATTAATTGATCTTGAGTATTGATGATCTTGAGCATAAAAATCGTACACAACTCTTCTTCGCATGATTCATTAGCTTCAAAAATTCCACCTGTTAGCTTAGATAATTAAAATAATCCTTTATCCATTTAAATATTTATTTCACTATTTCAATTATAAGCAAATTTTGGGATTCATAAAATGAACTTTTGAATATGACCTCAAGGTTATCTTCTTTATTCTTCTATAATAATTCATTCAAACTTCGATTAAAGTTAATTTTTAATTTCTATTAACTTTTAAAATTTTTTGAAATGATAAGAAGGGTATATAAACAGAGGATAGAAAGAGAGGATAGAAATAGGATAGGTAGAGGATAGAAAGTTTCGGTTAATTTAACCAAATTCCTTCAACTATAATATATTTGATAGATCGATATAGACTATAACATGTGGTAGGATAGTATCGTTGATATGCTCTTAGTGGGTGGTTTATGGCTTTTTCAGAACAAAAGAAAAATAGAATGAAGAAAGGGAAGAAATTAATGGGATGAAGAAGAAATGAAATAATATCACAATTTCTAAAGTGTTTCAAAAAATTTCTTTCATCATTGTTTTATTCACTTTTTTTTGTTTAACTAATTAACTTTTGTATTTTTTGTTTAAAAAAAAATGAGTTATAAATTGATATGAGTCATAGCTATATATAAAAATTTTTTAATTATATATGTTGATATATGATTAAGCTAAATTTTCCACACTATGATTAATCATCCTTCCTTTGATGATATATGCTAATTAGGAATTATGATGGATGATGGTATATTAATATATCCCTATTACAGTATATTAAACTTTCACAGTGTCTCTTTATTATTGTCATAGTTGTGATTTACACATTACAAACGAATGCCTCATTTTCGCCAGATGTCGGTTAATCCGTTTCTTAATTCCGATCTCCTTCGCTTCACCATCTTATCCTTACATACACACTCTCTCCCTTCTCAAATATCTCTCTATCCTCATAAAACTAATAACTACTGCAATTTTTATCACTTTCTTTAATATCACGAATCTTTTGTTTCTATTCGGTAAATAGATATCTTCATTGTTTACGATTTTTAACCTTTTCAATCATATTGCTAAAATTTGATTATTATTTAAATTATAATTTTATGTTTTAAATTAATGCTATTACTGATAATATGCTACCGTTGTCATTTTTCAGTATATATTTATTGTTAATTTTTTCTTTTGCTAAATTATGTTTAATAAATAAATTAATTTTGTAATAGAAGTAAAAGAAAAAAATTATTAATTTTTTATTTTATATTATATTAAGCTTTTATATATCGTCTTTTTTTATTT